TTTGCACCTAACACTGAATCAATTGTTTTTTTCCTGTTCCCATGCGTGATCCGCTGAGTTCAGCGAGAAAATCAACTTAATTGTCTACTACAGTAAAACCTGTAACTAAAGATCACCGTGACTAGCGACCAGCCTGTTACTACCGACCACTTTGCCAGGCACGGACTGTCTCACATTCATATAATATATATGGTTGTGCGGTGCAAACCTCTAACTAAGGACCACCTGCTACTAAAGACCACTTTCTCTGGCCCCAAGGGGTGGTCGTCAGTCACAGGTTTTACTGTAGTTAGCAGCAGTGGCGAGGCTTCCTGCAGCTTCATTCATAGGAAGTGGTTTTTAGAGCAGACCCAATTTTTCCCATTCAGTCTGCAACGATATTGAACTTGCCGAAACGTTGTAATAATTGATTGATAAACGAGTTTGATATTGTTGTAGAGTGAATGGCAAAGAGCGGGTCTGCACTAAAAACCACATCCTTTGTCTGCTAGTGTTGTTGAAGTGTTCTCATTTCCACATGGATTTGCGACTGACACCAGAGACGAAGAAAGAAAGGCAAAGGCAAATCGACGCAGCCATGATGACTCAGGGCGGTCAGGGATTATTGTCTGAGGCTAACTTGCTTGACTTACTGGATGTGTTTCAAATGTCCAATCAACACTGAGGTGTACACATTTTCGTTTTCTGATCAATAAACCAAATGTTTTCTATGGGGTCGTCCACAAATAGTGAGGTTCTTCCACACGGTAAAACGTGCCAAAGTACGTATGGAAACCTCGCAGCAGTACGGGATCAAGTTTCATACGGATTTTTTTCATACCGTTTTCCGTGTAAAGTGCGCTTGACACGGACGGGACTCCCTGTGAAAACTGAGCGTACAGAGTACATGTGGCGGGGTGTTTGAGCATGCTACAAGCATGCTACGTACGGCAGAACCGGTGCAACATACGGAAAATCCGTGTCAAACTTCACTGCAGTTGACACGGAGTTTGGTACGTAGTTCCGTGTAGCAGAACCTCTCTAATATCGAAGTTTTTTTTCACAAAACTTTGGGGTTGGAAGGGGTGACCAATTTCGTTTCAGAAAACATTGATACATGTACACGGCCATAGGAGCAGTGAGTGACACACCTGCGACTTTTGCATGTGTTATGTCAACATGTTTTACGTTCTGAGGGGAGGGAGGAGTTGGGTCCAAACTAAAATAATTCGTTTGGTGAAAAAAGTTCGATATTCACGTAGTTCCGTGTAGCAGAACCTCTCCCCTAAGTACTCGCACACTCCATTGCAGCCTTTTACACCTTGGGCTCCTCAACGCAACCACTCAAACACTGTGTATTTACTGCAGACGTCACTTGAAAGGTTCATCAAAATTTCGGGACTAGCCCATCATCAGGGCGAATCAGTGAACTGTTTGGATTGAGGAAACCCAGTGAAAAAACCAAACACCCTGAAACAGCTGTCTCCATGACCTACGGCTCAACCTCTGAATTTTGAAAAGTACTCGTCGGCGGCAAAGGCATTGACGTTGAAATGTCATACTGGCAAAGTAAAACTCAGGACGTTGTGAGATATAACTGCTAGGGGTGAAACGAGTATCTATTTTGACCAATCGATCACTCATTCATAATATTCGATCGAGTATCCGATTATTTCGAGTATTTTGTCGAAATTCAAAAGCGCTAGATTTGTGAGTTCTCGACTAATTCGGAAGAAATTATCTGTGAACATAGAACAAAAGTCGCCAACGTCTTGTACAGAGTGTAAAGTAACGATTTTCACCGGTACTTTCATCATCTCAAAACAAAATAACGTTACTTGCCGTGGTGATCGCATCGTCCAAGTCATAAAATACTGACTCAAAGGCACGAATAATGCATGCATACCAGTCGATGAGCAGTACAACAGGAGTTTTTGAAAAATAGAATGCCAGTACTAAAAAAAAACCGATCGAGTGCAAAATTTCGAATACTCGCTCGTTTGAGAGTTTCGAACGAATACTCGAATATTCGAACTAATCGTTTCACCCCTAATAACTGCAGAATATTGCAGCATGCTGACATGAAAGACCACCTGCTCTAGGAGCAGACTCAAAGTACATTGTAGCCTGAAAGATACGAGGGATACGAAGGATTACTTGTCACTATCAAAGAGCTGCTTCAAGAATGTCATTTGGCTCTGCACAGGCAACTGTGTATGCTCCCGTTGCTGCTGGAGCATGCCAGACACAACTGTTTGCTGGTTGTCCTGAAGGTTGGCTTGCGATGTTGTTAGCTTCTCCACCATCTTCATACCCACGTATTCTATTGAGCGCAGAGTCGTATCGCTTGGACCTGGTGTGGCTCTCTCTTCTTCTTCCTACCACCCATAGCTGCTACTGCAGCTGCTGCAGCACCTGTTTCCTCGCTCTCGCAAGATGCTGAAGCATCGTTATGCTCACGATTGTTGCTGTGCGGTCCTGGCTGTTCCGCTGGGATCGCATGAGTTGTAGCAATTTGGACGCTTTCATTGCTTACCACGTCACCGACAGAATCAGCATCACTGTCGTCACCTGTAGGCTGAAATGGTGGACGACTTCCCAGGGGTGTTGGCTGTGAAGCTGGCCCAATGCTAGATGGTCTGCTGTCGACAGCTGCAGGAGGCAAAGTCACACTTTTCCTGCAGTTCATGGGGTGATACAGCTCTCCCAGCCTGCAGCAATAGGAATTTCCAACTGTAGACGTGCCAGCTGCAAGGTAGCAGCAACCCAGAACAGAGTGAAAAATAGAAAACGATAAATTCCTCGCCTCACGTCCATACAACTGAGCTGTTTACATCAAGTGCGATGTATAGAAGACGAGTGGCATCTGACTGACCACTTGCAACGTATTTCTTGCAGAACTTTCCTAGTCAATAGTCTGACTTGGAGCACCGGCGGGCCTGCTCCTGGTCGTGCTTGCACTTAGGGCAGTAACAGATAGCGAGGAAATGCTAGTCAAAGAGCCCCAACCCGGAGATGTCTTTAAACAGCTTGTGCCTTGTCTTGAACTTAGCCGATCCAGCAAGGGCACCCTCCAAGTCAATGTCATCGCCTGGTCCAGATGCCACGCTGCCAGCTGATGTAGACTTGCTAAATGTTCTACTTCGAAAGGAAGTACCATATTTTACCGGTTGTAAGTTGACCCCGGTTATAGGCCGACCCCCGTATCCGGAGGTCTCAATTCTGCAGTTTAAAGTGTTCACCCAACGAAGCACTACTAACCACTCCCTGCTACTACCACATCAACAAATCATGTAAACATTCCTTATTGGAGGGTATAACGTCCCAATCCTTGAAAAAAAACCAATAAACTGGCAACAATTGTACACATGGTGCACTCGTGTATGCAGTGCAGGTCATTTTTTGTAAGATACTGATAGTTATCGGTTATAAGTCGAATCCCGGTTGTAAGTCGACCCCCACCCCTTCTACTTCTATTTTTAGTCATAAAAGGTCGACTTACAACCGGAAAAATACAGTACCCGTATATATTCTATTCATTCTGCTGATTTGGCTTTCAAGCTATCGGTCTTGATCTGTACTAGACTAACCTCGCATATGTTGAGTACAAAAAGGACGACTGACAACATATTCTCCAGACATTACAACGGACAATGGGAACACGTTAGTGGGAACGACATTTATTCCCGTAGCTATGCAGAAGACGTTACTTCAGTAACGTCTGGCGCTAGCCAGGGTCCACACAGCTTTAATTTGGTGTTTGTTTGTTTGTTTGTTTGTGTCACGCTTGGCGCTATCCCGTATCTGTCCCGTACCGTACCAGCACAGACAGCTGGCCACAATATTATTTGTTTGTTTGTGCCATCAGCATGCCCGGCGCTATCCCATACCTGTCCCGTACCATCAAAAGTACGGTACCATCAAGAGAATGATTATATATGCGAAGTGTATGGGGGAATGCATTCAGGCCGATAGTGCAGTAGCATTTTGTGTGGATTTGTGTGCGAGGCCGAGATCCCACTAGCAGGCTGGCTGGGCCGCCTGTCGACCAGCCCGGGAATCGCATGTAGGCCGATAGCATAATAATTATAACGTATATAGATGTATAGCAGGGATTCGTATTATGTAAACGACTCCCTGCTGTATAGGGAGATTTTCTGGAAAGAAATACGAAGTAGGGAGACGAGGAAATGCTATTAGAATGGACGTTAAGTAAAGTAAGTAAATTATCGTATCCGTTCCCGAAGGGAACTCACGACGGCCGCTAACACCCGATAAACCCTAGCGGCAGATGCAGCGCCTAACGGTGGGGGTGAGTGGGTAAGTCTCACAACCACTGGCACAAGTGCCGAAAACGACCCCATTAGCTGCATCCATGTACCCCTTGTGCCTGGCCACAAGTTCGTTGCCGAATAAAAGACAGGGTGCGTCAGCAAAAACATACTTTGGAAGAGAGATCCCGTCATCTCCAAAATAATCCTGAACGGGCGAGTCAGCGCCGGTCACAGGAAACGTCAGAAGAGAGATCCCGTCGACTCCAGAACGTCCGTGATCGGCAGAGTCAGCGCCGGTCACTAGGGGTGTGCGGATAATGCTCGAAAAGGTGGCAGATTCTGCTCGAAAAGCAGTGAAATTGGCAGAACCATACAAACCTTATGGCGGGCAATTCCTCGAATTCTGCTCCATTTCTTTATCCACATACAAAACATTCATGAAACGTACCAGAAAAAGTACCGAATTCTGCCAATTTTTCTGCCGGAATTATCCGCGTATGCCTACCGGTCACAGGAAACGTCAGGACAGACATCCCGTCGACTCCAGAACGCTAGCCAGGGCCATCACAGCTTTGACACGTTACATGCATGATGAGCAAGCAAAAAAGCATAGCGTAGGGCCCTGAGCTTCCAAGCTCTCTCGTTATAGACGACGAGACAAGAGACCAAGACGAACGAAACGACTACATTGAAGAGTGAGAAAGAGACTGAGACAACAAGAGACTGTGAAGGGCCTGGGTAGCTATGGCAATATAGGCGCGCATGTAGCTACCCAGGCTAACGGAACAAAAGGTGAGTACGGGGTTCATATGGTTCATGCAGACCAGCTGGGGAAAAAGGTAGACTGTACGGGAGGAGGTACCTAACACATAGCATGCCCAGGCCTGTGCTACTGGTGTACCGGCTCAGCTCTTCCGCGATCTCCTTTTCTATTGGTGATGATCCTTTCTTCATCTGGTTCCACTCTTCTCACCCTAGTATTGCTCGTGCGGCTCAATCACCTTATCTGCCAGATTTCAGCTGTTCCGTTCTAGTATCGTCATGGCTGTCGGGGTGCAGCTTCTCTGCCCGAAGACATTGGGAGGGCTGAAGCCTAGCACACGTGCGCGCGCACACACACACACACACACACACACACACACACACACACACACACACACACACACACACCGACATGCGCGCACACACACACACACACACACTTACGCACACACACAAACTGATGAGACCATCGAACGAAGGCAAACATGACAGAAAAAGCCACAGAGCGACACTAGGAGAAACGTTCTTCAAGCGAGTTAGAAGAAAAGGCCTATAGAATTGTGTGTGTGTGGGGGGGGGGGGGGGGGTCGTATTACAGTTGGTCCCTCTTGTGAGCATATGCCACGCCACGCCACAAAACCGAAAATCACAAATTTCCACGAAAACAGTCAATACAAAAAGCTGTCAAGGGTTAGGAAACTAGGCCAAACATGTTGATATAAATCGTAGAGAAGGCAGTGGTGGACAGGTGACTCATGGAGTTGTTGCTGTTGCTGTTCTTGTTCTTGTTCTTGTCGTCGTTGTTGGTCTTGTTGTCGTCGTTATCATCTTTTTCGCTGTTGCTGTCATCGTGTCCACTCTCCTGTGCAGTCGTTTACTCGGGTTTCTCGCTACTAGTGACCGTGGCAAACCAGAAGGTGTACATTGTCAAGGTTCGCACCATTGCATAGACAGCGCGTCTCTCCGCCCAACAGCATTACCATTTTGTTGAATCTCCAGAACACGTATAGAGAACCGGCGAGTGGGAGAACAGGTTGGTCAGTTCCGTGATCTTTCTCACGCAAGCTAGTACTTCACAGGTTGTGTTTGAGCTGTGCATGATCCAGGTCAGCAGTCACCTGCATCGCTTGCTGTGGCTGAACCATAGCGTGCACCGTCCACAGGCATAGTAGTTCTAGCTCACCGCGCTCTCATGACCGTGAGATTGACAAGCGTTGCTTGCGTACCTGCCTACCTGCCTGGCTGCTATTTAGGCGGACGGTTAGTGTGTACATATACTATCAAATCCCCCCGCCTAACTCTCTCACAAACACACACACACACACACACACACACACACACACACACACACACACACACACACACACACTCTCTCTCTTCTTCTTCTCCTCCTCCTTTTCTCTGTACTGCTTTATTCTCCTGCTGGAAGGCACACAAAACCCTTCAACAAAGCTGCATCTTCGAGTACAAATTTTATAAATATTATGTGATGTGTAGCGTGCATCATACTTTTTTTAAATCATAAATACCAACACATCATGCAACACTATCTTACGTTTTCTTGATTTTTGTTAAAATGCATGCACATCTTTCATGTCATTCACACATTCATTTCTTGTGAGGATTTTATTCAATGCCAACGTTCAAAGATCTCTGAATGTTTGGACGACTCGATCTCTGTACAGTGCAGTGGCGACGGGCTATGAACGCAGAAACTATTGATTTTGTCGTTCCGAAGTAATGGCTGTTCTTGTTGTATTCCTTCGACTTGTGGATTGTTTCCCCTGACTTTTACCATAAAGTACCGTTGGTCCGCCCTCTCTCTAATTCCCGCCCCCTGTCGATTTTCTACCTGTGAAGCGACTTCGGCGGATACAACGAAATACAATGTTGAACCGACGCATGCACTGCTGTACACAATACGTGCCAATCCAGGATGAAAATGTGCACAATTCAGCACATCGAGTCTGATCCTCCACGTTGTTGTACATCGTACTGCACTTGACAGCCTTGATCTAATTCCCGCCCCCTGCCGAAAACCCAGCTGGGAAGCGACATGGCGTGGGGGGGGGGGGGGGGGGATCAACGTTATTTTACGGTACTCTTGTATGTGCAAGCCATGTTGCTTTGCCGTTTCTTGCTTGTGTCTGTGTATTGGGGGGGGGGGGGGGACTGTGTGTATGTGGGGCATGGTGAGTGTGCGGGGCGGGGTGCATGGTGTGTGTGTGTGTGTGGGGGGGGGGTGCTGTGTGTTTGTGGGGCATGGTGTGTGTATGTGTGTGTGTGGGGGGGGGGGGGGGGGTGCTGTGTGTTTGTGGGGCATGGTGTGGGGGGGGGGGGGGGTGCATGTGATGTGTGTGTGGTGTGAAGGGGAGGGGAAGGAAACTGTGGGTCTGTGTGCGTGGTGGTGGTGGGGGGGGGGGGGGGGGGCGTGCATATCCGCACATACTGGTAGAATGTCAGGGTAGGTGCAAACCGACTCTCCTTGCCCAGCTTACGTCGCAAGATCGGACCCCATCTGTTTTCGTGGCAGGGTATTTCGGAGGCAGTTCCTGACCTGCCCACTAGCAGCTGGTAGTACACTTACATGTACCGGTATCTGACTTGCTTCAATGCCTTGCCCGGACCTTGGCGTACATTCAGCACACATAATGCACGGTTGCCATAGGACAAGCACTGCATGGTAGCTTGGTCTTGGCACGGTGTGTTACTCAGAACGCACATTCAAAGTTGTGGACTCATTTAGGGCGCATTCGAATTGTCACTCTTTGACTTTTCGAGGAGCTTCGTTTTTCTGAAGAGGTGGCCTTATTGGCCTCTTCAGAAAAACGAACCTCCTCCAAACTCCACAACCTCATCCGATCGGAGAGGTGGATTAGTTCCGAAGAGTTTGGAATAGCCACGTCACGTAGTGCGTGGAGATGGTCGATGTGATCGGACGTCATCATCGCCATGACAATTCCACTGAAAAACTCTAAAATGATTGAAACGGTTCTAATGGGACCCTTCAACAAAAATTTGATAATAATAATAATAATAATAACTTAATAATGCAATGAATATAACTAAATGCGCACTCATATCACAACCATGGGGACGAATCATGTATTCCAGAACGTTTTCTTGTCACAATTATCAATGGAATTCGTGACTAAAGAGAATGATGAAACTACAATAGGATTTATACACTTGCAGTGGAACAGCGAGGATACAAGCATAGTAAGAAAAATAGCACAAACCTAGGAACAATTTGCACAGGTAATAAACTATAGGTGAGGTGAGAAATGATAGGAAATTCAGCAAGTGCAGTGTGACAATGGACATGCATGTGTAAGTGTGTGTGAGTGCGAATTTACTGGAATAGCGTAAGTGCGGTGACATTTTCTTTTTGTTTACAAAGATTTGGATCACGAATGCGAATGTAGACTGCTTCTAGAACTTTTAACTGCTTGAAACTACTTGCAGAACGAACAACACTGAACCAAGAATCATCATAACTTTCACGACACACGGGGTTAGACAACAAATGCAATTTAATTGCCGAAGTATTCTTCTTCTTCTCACCGCCTCCGCCTTCACTTGGTTTCTGACCGCCACCGTCCTTCACACCATCTGCACCATCATCGTCATCATCGTCACCGTCCTCTTCACCATCGCTGCCACCTTCACCTGTCGTCGGCTCTCCCAGCAACTGACCACCGGGTTCATCATCGTCACTGCACACGTCGCTTCCACACTCCTCCTCCAGCTGCCGTCGCGTTCTCTTCGTGACCGGTCTTCCCTTGCCATTGCCAAACGCCTGACAGTCGTCAACTCTTCCGCTGGCATCATCCATATCCGGAGAGTTTCGATGCATCTTTCCAGTCACCTCTGCAAACCGAGCTGCCGCCAGCCGTTTGCTCCTTACACATGCATGTCCATTGTCACACTGCACTTGCTGAATTTCCTATCATTTCTCACCTCACCTATAGTTTATTACCTGTGCAAATTGTTCCTAGGTTTGTGCTATTTTTCTTACTATGCTTGTATCCTCGCTGTTCCACTGCAAGTGTATAAATCCTATTGTAGTTTCATCATTCTCTTTAGTCACGAATTCCATTGATAATTGTGACAAGAAAACGTTCTGGAATACATGATTCGTCCCCATGGTTGTGATATGAGTGCGCATTTAGTTATATTCATTGCATTATTAAGATTATTGTCTCCACGTCGCCTTTTTACATAATAATAACTAATTTCTTTTTAAAATATTTGTTCGAACAGTTGCTGAAGACGTCCCCTAACACTTCAGTAGGCTATAGTGTTTTTTTCCCAGTGTACACAAGCCTCTAGTCTTGTGCAGGCAAAATAAACACAAGCGCAATCTCACCAGGAAGAAAATGAGCTAAAATGGCTGTGAACACAGCTTAATACGGAGGGAGCTAAAATGGTTGTGAAAACAGGTATTGGGTTGCATAATAATAATTGGCCCTAACTATAAGACATTTACATCTAAATGCTCTGATCTTTATCAATATGGCATGACTCGGAGATCATCCTGTTGCATGGTGTTGCTGCGTGAGTTCTTACTCTGCAGTTCCCAAGAGCGATATACCCCGATAATACATGTACATGTACATGGCAGCAAAGGATACATAGAGCAAACCGCGGACAAGTGTTCTCTGCAAAGTAGAGAACATAGTCATTATGGGGAGGCTTGGTCTCAGCACCAGGATTGCATGGCGTGTGTGTGTGGGGTATTTCGCATAGTGTGCAGCGCCGTCTTGTGAAGAGTAAAATAATGTACATACGCAGGCTTTAGAGTTAGACCAGTTTGAAGATTGGAAGGCCTTGCCTTTTCACTGGGAATGATTCCTAGGAACAATCTTTTAAACTGTCGGTGGTACCACAGGCTACGTAACGTATGTTGCTAAACCTTTGCAAAAAGTCCTCCAGGTCCGAGCCAAGTGACACGAGGTAGCTATGGAACTAGGCTGCAGTACATGTATGTTGCTGCAGTGTACTCAGAGAAGTTTAATGACTAGCTAGTATCAGGGTATACGACTCCCTGATGGTTCTCCACCAATCCTGAGACAACAATGATCATACTGCATGTTGTGGAACGTTCAATACTTGTGGGGGCTATGCACTCTCGCCGTAACACATTCCGAAAGAGACTTAGCTTGACGACTGTGACAGCCAGCTGGAAGTACACGTATTTTCCACTGGTACTGCGTTCCAAAGCCTTTAGCTGCTCAGTACTGGTGTTCTGCTCCAAGTAATAGTTTTGTGGAGAGAAAATTCTAATATGTTTGCTTAGTCATACATGTTTAGCCTACAGAAGTCTGCTCACGGATGGCAAGTGGTATTCACGAGCTGCTGGTGAGGTTGAAATGAAGTAAGTTACTTGAAAGCATACAGTGAAATGGTGACATAGGTCTACTAACAGTGTTCTTATTCACTATTCTTTGTTGCTACCGTGACTTCTGTTCGAACTGTCCCGGCTCCTATGGATGCTGCATGTGATCTTCGTATTGAAGGATCCACTGTCGTGTTGTTGTCAGAGTCAGATTGGGGTATGGGCGCCGCGTCTCGACCTGCGTGACAAGAAGGCCAACCGAGGAGCAGAAAGTCAGGGGTTTGCGGAGCATCTCGATCCAGCCAAACTGTGGTAGCTGAGCTCCGGCCCGCCTCATGACATGAGCTGCATCATGATTGATAGAGGCGAAGGATCGATAAGCTCTGCTCCGCTCGATGGCCATGCACGCGATGCCCTGAAGCAGTTGCCTCTGTTGAGTGAGGGGCTAGGTGGATGGCTTCAACTCTGAGCCTCGCCTCTCTCCTTTCAACAAGTTCAACTTGTCAGGAAAACATTGGCAAGGCAAGGAGTTTCACTCGCCCTACTCCATCGACACGCGCGCGTCGTACAACAAACCTGAGAGGTTTGTGCCCTCGGGGCGTATCTATATTTTGGTGATGTTTGATGCTACTTTAGGAGCTTGTCAGCTATGGCACGCTGGGGGAAATGGCCCGAAATAAGATTAGGCCACGCTGCCGAAGCGATGGAACAAGAAGCAGTAGACGATGAACATAGTCTGCTCCACGTTCACCCCGTTTCGCACAGCGCCCTGCAGCTCCACACTCACTGCACTTGACAATAATGGATGAAGACTACTCGTGTTGAGTAGACCCTCACTTACATTCTGGATCCGCGCCATATCCTGATCGCTCCAACTCCAAGGTACACATACATGTACCACATAGCTCTTTCCTTGATGCCGATGAATTCGTTGAAGGATCGAGGTGTATAGATTCGCGAGCGAGCATGCAGGTGCTGCGTTTGCGTTACTTCAGTACTAAGGCCTGTACCAACTTGGCCACAGAAACTGCAAGAAGATTAGAGCTTGCACGGTTTCTTCTTTGCCGTCTGCCAGTCTCTTTAATTAACCGACCGTGATCAGGCATCGTGTTCGCAATACAACACTGATAAGAGTAAAGTATTTGTAAGGGCAAGATTTCAGAGCTTGTCCTAGGGTAGATTTGGCACATGTAGATGTAAATGTCGGCGGAAATATGTCAAACACGTATACGGAGGCCACGGTATGATCTGGGTCTAGAACGTAGGCTAAGGCCAATGGGGCCAGATGGCGAGGGTCCGAGGGAGCCAGACATCGAGTGAGCTCATTCGCTCAAAGTAGCGCAGCATGTGGATGGAATTCTAGTCTCTCCGCCATTGCAGAGCAAGGACGTCAGCAACCGAAAGTAACTCATGATGGGGCGGAAGTTAGCAAATGTCTGCTGCACGTTCGCTCTGTCTCCTGTTTGGTGGCTTACACCGTACCCACGCGTTCGCTTTGTTCATGCTTCATACTTACTACAGATTGATTGGAATGCGCACCCGCACGCTTATAGTTTTACAGCCACCCGTGACCATAATCAGTGACGGGCACTAGTGACACGAATGAAGAAGCTCGAAGATTGCCTGGATGCCTGGCATCATCGTCAGCTCAGACCTCTGATGGACCTCGCCCACCCTCACCAAAAATCTCCAGCAAGAACAGTTACGAAAACACCATTGCAACCAAGCCCCCACCCCCATTTCGCAAGCCCCGACCTTCTGTGGCCGGGGCACCTTGCCCGGGAGGGACCAAATGCGACCCCTTTCAAAGCGCTGCAGGTATCCCTCAATGCTGCGGACATCAAGAGATCCCGTGCCTGTGGACCACCCAAGGAGCGATGGGTCGATATTGACATGCCAAGGAAGACATCAAGCCTCTGAATGTGCCGATTCAGGACTGCCTCAGCCTTGCTCCCCCACAAGCAACTCTGATTAACGATCATTGGCAGATGCAAGACCCCGTATGCTTTGTTTCATGTGGGCTATATGCGCTTCTCTTATTGTCCGTAAACTCCAACTCAGTCACTTACACGTGACAGATGTATCAAACTTCACCTCCCCCCCCCCCCCTTTCCCAACTCCATAACGGGGCCGGTCTTTACTGCGGGCAATGCCTACATGACATTGTATTGATATCACTGAATCACAGGCCCAGGGGTACCGGGTACCTTGCCAGATCGCATGATCGACGTGAGCACGCAGATACGGCTACGGCTACAGTCGACGGGAAATGTGTGTCGCTCCCTACGTGGGAGCTTGGCCAAAATAAAATGAAACCATAATTATCACAATACATAGTCATACTGACATGACGTGGAATTGCCAAGCTAAGAACGGAGACGGTCAAACCATCCATTTGACACATTCCTCCGCTATTGCATTGTTACAGTTCATGTCTACACCGTCTCAACCAATACTGTAAATCCAGCTGAGACTGAGAGAGTTCTACAGGCCGAGAGCTGTATAGCATTGCATTGCATTGCTGGTGAACTAGCGGTTACATAATGTCGATGATGATACAGTCCTGCAGTCGAACTCAGGGCATCATGTCGTTCGCACATTGCGCATAGCATCAAGGTTCGAGCCTCAATCGCATGTGTAGAAAGTAATAACATTGTGTCGTGAGGCTCTACATCTACACTATCGATAGGTATACCAGTTCTCGCGCGCTAGCTAGCTGCCATTTGGTCCGCAACAGCTCATCAGAGCGTGGCGCGGCGGCACAAGTTTTTACTCTTTGGGCTCTAAGTGCATCTCCTCCAGCTCGCGTGTACTGGTACACAAGTACCGGTAAAGCTCGCGAGGATAAGAGGCAGGTAATTGGCTCCCATTGACTTCGCAACATGGCGGTCATGCCCGTACTCGCCTTCTAGATTCACGCGTATTCACGCGAGTCTTCTTGAATCGACCGGCAATTGAATTGCAAAATAATTGAACGCACGTACGTGGTTGTGCTAGAATATGTACATGTGTTTGCTCAGCAGGCGGCGAGAAGGTGGCAAGTCGAGCCATGCCGTGGTTCCGGACACACACTACCACCCGGCCCGGTTACTCCACGAACCGGCTCTCCATGCCATCCCTCAGCACAGTCTCACTACTACCTTCCATGTTCCTGTACAGTCAGTTGTAGACTGCTCACGGCAGCGCTTGGACGGCCCAAACGGATCCCCAGCAGCAATGATGGTAAATTCCACATCCGGACTGATGCGGTCTTCCGTACGTCTATCCCCTCGTGACGTAGCGATGCGCGCGTGCAGAGATATGGACGCAAAAACTGGCTGCATTGTATAGCACCGGCACGTGCCCGGTAGATCTACACATGGCTCGTTCAGTAGATCAAGGCATGCAGAAGTTCAGCAGCGCCGCAGCTCTAGATCTCGGAGCAAATCATGCCCGGCGAATCCCAGTGTCCCGCCTGTGACGATCACTCCGAATAGACGCGGGATCTGCGGACTCTGAAGCGCAGTGTATGCGGCGTCCGCCTACCCACGGCCAGACCGACTTCTCACACAGCAAGCGGACATCGTGGTACCACACCGCACTGCAAACATGTGTACCACTCAGCTCCACATATCACATCACACGCATGTAAGGCGACCTGTTTCGCGTAAAGTCACACCTCAGCATTAGGATTCGTGTCCAGGACACTGGAAGTGGAAGGTACAGACTCTCGCCCACAGACTACATGTAGCAGTAGAGAGCTGGAGATCTGCTGCGCCGGGGAAGCGGCGCTGCCGACCAACGCCAAACTGAGGCTGTGAGAGTGCGGTGGACGGGAGGACTCCGACTAGTTGGTGTTCCTAAACTCCAGTCAGTTCGGAAGTAGAATCCACTGATAAATGCTCGAGGGAAGCGCAGACCAGCGCTCTAGTTTGCTGTTCAATGGACAGGAAATGTGTGGTCGTTGCGACGACGGGCATATCCTTTTGACAAGCGACGCGGGGCGGCTGTGACTCTGGCTGTAAGGTGAGCGGAGGCAAGAGAAATCCGTAAAGGTGCTGACTGCCCCTCCGGCGTGTTTTATAGCGGAGTTTCCGCTTGATGTAGTATGTAGTTAGTTCGAGTCTATAGACTTTGCGATGATTATATCGATTGTCCCAGGTGCTGCCCTGTCACAGGACACGCGCTGCTTTAGACATGCCCGTGAAGATGCAATTGGGTCGGCTACATCTATGATGTGCGCTAATCTATCGCTAACACTCTCAATCGAAATGCGAACTCCAGAGCGCACATCATTGCTGCTAGCAGTTCCAAGTACCAGCCTCAGGCTGACGTTTAGAAAAAAGAGTGCTCTGACATCGGCAACTGGCGCAGTCAATATTGTTTGTAAATCCGTTTCGGCGAATGTACAAGACCGGTGAGAAAAACACTGAGCTTTGCCTAGCGGAGAATATGACCATGTTTCTGTGGCCTGTCATTGTGTGCGGTGACGGCGTGTGTTGTCCAATGCATGGCATTCTGTAACGCAGGAACACATGCGCAGGATGTCCCACTGCAGTTGTGCGGTAGCGGCGCGGCGTAGCTCAGCTGCTACAACATACAAGTTGCTGATGTTTTTGTTGCTGTTGGCTCTGCGGAGTTTTCCCTGCATCCTGGCGCACAGTGAAGGTGAGTTGGCATGTCCTAAACCTATGAAGCATAGGGGTCCGCATAGCATGGGCATATCTTGCCCAGAATTTGGTGGTTGTGTATACATCTGCACAATAATGTGTGGAATTGTGGAACTGGGCAGGATGCTGCATGGTGTTCAAGCATTTTGCATTTAGAAAGCAGGCCAGCAGAAGAATATTGTCCTTGGAGGTGCACCTGCACAATAGCAGTTCAAATTACCCCGCTCTGTGAGGCGTGGGGGACACGATCCATTTGAAATGCTAATGCAATGCAGGCCCTCAACGAGACAGGATGGTGGCCCTAGGTTCCCCCAGCATAATGGATGGCATGATCCTACCAAGGACTTGGGCTTGAAAACATTGGACAAAAGACAATTCGGGATAATTGCTTCGGAGGACGAAGGCAGGAAAACAGATTGTAGAGTATCCTTATGTTTGTGCATACTCGTGCTCTTAATGTTAGGTGGCAGAAGCTCCAGGAGAGAAAGTCCATGCCTTGCTGGTCTGGCTATTGTGACAAAGGACTGTGCTGGTGTCTTCAGCTCGTGTTTAGCCAGCTAGCAGCTGTGTGTATGTCACGGTGTGTGTGTGTGTGTGTGTGTGTGTGTGTGTGTGTGCACGTGTGTGTGTGTGTGTGTGTGTGTGTGTGTGTGTGTGTGTGTGTGTACGAGAAAGAGAATGGCAGAATGTCAAAGACCCTAGTTCCAGTTGACTAGCAGGCAGGCAAGTGTACATGCTGTGGCTGCACAATGCACTAGACACGCAGGTGTGATGCATGGCATATTCCTTGCATGCATAATCCACTCATAATGAGCATGGTCTAGTTATGAGCCATGGGCCACATGCAAACGAGGCCATTCTAGACCAGATGGTGCCAGAAACAAGCTCCTAGCATTGGATCCCCCCAGTATGCCAGGTTACTGTATGTCTGTAGTAGTCAATAGCAACGGCTGTAGAAAATCGAATGGTCTGTAAAGTCATACTGAAGGTCTGAACTGAGTCTTCTTACAACTGATCCTCTTCCAAGACAATCTGGTCATTGAATACAGTAGTGAGCAGTCCATGTACACAGCACCTTGGGGTATATGTTGTACATGTACACCACCATACTACACCAATGTTCATGACCATGCAGTGCAAACAATAGACCCCCTGTAGCTTAGCAGCCCCAGTTGCAAGAACACAAGTAACACGTCCTGATCTACTTCAGAGGCCAGCGTGGCTGAGCTAGTATCCTGCTGAGCTAGTATCCTGCTGAGGTTTGCTCACCAGGGTTTGGCTCGTAGGATGTAGGGAAATAATAGGTGTAGTGTGAAGTTCCTACCTCGTGTTTCCAACGTGTGTTTCTAACATCGTGTTGGGCATTGCTCTGGGCATTGCTCTGGGCATTGCTCTGGGGCGTTGCTCTGGGGCTTGCTCTGGGGCGTTGCTCTGGGGCTTGCTCTGGGGCGTTGCTCTGGGCATTGCTCTGGGCGTTGCTCTGGGCGTTGCTCTGGGGCGTTGCTCTGGGCGTTGCTCTGGGCGTTGCTCTGGGGCGTTGCTCTGGGCGTTGCTCTGGGGCGTTGCTCTGGGCATTGCTCTGGGGTTCATTCCATTGTTATTAAGGCCGTGGCAATAGCAGTGTGATTAGAATTGTATGCTGGACATGACATGCTATAAGCTTTGTAAATGGTAGGTTATCATTCGTGAGCTGGGGCTTCCTGGGAATTGGTGATGCGTCTGCACGTTACATTACCAACCAGGGAGAGAGAGGTTGTGAAAGAGACACATAGAGACAGACAGATCGAATGGGATGGAGAGAGAAAATAATGAGAATGAAAGGAAGGAAGAAAGCAAGAAAGCAAGAAAAATAGAGAGAGAGAAACAGAGAAATAGAGAGGCAGAATGAAGGAAAGAAAGAAAGGGAGAGAGAGAGAGAGATAGAGAGAGGGAAGGGGCGAAGCAGGGAAAGAGAAGCATGCGTGTACTTGCATACCATACAGGGAGGCAAGGAATATGGCTGCCAGTTCAACACTGTGTGGAGCCCTATCCACCCCAAAACCCGCCTCAGTGCTTATAGGCAGCCGGCCAGGATTAATGAGACCACAGCTCAGCTATGTGATACGCCGAGGGCAGTGCAGTGAAATACAGAATACCGTGTAGTACAGGCCCGCCGAAACCAGTCCCGTTGGTCAGGTTAGTACCAGACCTACTTTTTGGCCGCCATCACGTGTGTTCTACTGTGGAGGGCATGCCTACCCGCCATGGCATACCCGCCATGGCATATCCGCCATGGCATACCCGCCATGGCATACGCAATGTTTGAAAGGCCACGATACAAGCGGGCCAATCAAAAACTGCTCCCGGCCGACTTGTAGTACAGACACAGTCATAGTCTAATGTGTATGTCAGCACATTACACAGTAAACCCTGTGTCCACAGCACAGTGTTGTGGACACAGGGTTTACTGGTTACCACAGCAGAGTGTTGTGGTAACCAGTAGGTCATGTCAAGATGGCTGCTTTCGTCACACCAGCCGTATCTATTCCCCTGCCTCCACTCTCCCGGCTGTTTCCTGGTGAAGTATGAAGCGGCGCTGCTTTGGTGCAGCGTGGAAGGCTCACCCAGGGTGTTCGGTCGTACTCTGGTTCATTGTCCATCGATTCCGTGTCACTGTGCTTTGCCAGAGGTGATTATTGGGGTAGAGCTGGCCCACCAGAGGCGATACTGGGCATATGGTTGGCCCAGCAGGGGCGATGATGAGGACAGTGATGACGAGGACAGCGATGATGAGGGCAGCGATGCTGAGGGTACAGTTGGCCCACTATAGGCGATGATCAGGTTAACATAGTGGTGGTATGTAGGTGACTTGGCGTGGGTTTAGCATTAGAATGTGCTCATTGTACCATGCTTCTCTCATGCTGCCACCTCGAGCAGATGCTATCAAAGCTCTGGAGCCTAAACAGAGACTACAGTGCACACCAACCAGCGAGAACCTGCCTGGCACCTTATGGGTGCGAGGCCAGCAAGCATGGTTCCTATATAACACTTGCATGTACAATTCGTGCAAGGTGCATGGTTGTGCAAGGTGCATAGGCGTGCATTACCCCTACAAGGTGCAATGTGTTGTCCTTCTGTATCATCACTTCACATACCAGAAGATTTTGGAGTGCAAAATCAACGTTTCCCTTGTTTTCAGCTTTATCAGATGTCTTAAACATTTGCTTTGCTGGAGCTAAAGAGCGAGCTCCATGAAAGCTTCCCCTACCAGTTCAATAATGTAGTTCTGGGGGGGGGGCTTGACAAGCAGAACTTGGGGCATTAGCTGGCAGTTTCTGTTACCGTGCAACTCCACAATTCAAAATTCCCACACAGCATGTGGCTGAGCAGGCTATTTGTAGATCTACTCAGTGTGACCCAGTGGAGGTGGGTTGATCCAAGCCTGAGGGGGAGCCATTCCATACCATGCTGTGTTGCTGTTCATTGCATTATGCTTAGTTCATTGTACCTAGTGTGTTGGCTGTAACCTAATGAAGTGGATGCTTGGAATGAGTTCCAAATCAGAGCTTAAAGATATACCGACCAATCGGCACTGAGAGGTAATGACCAGTATTTGGCTGCGGTTGTTTTTCGGGCCTGTGTGAATAGGGAAGGAGGAGGTACGGAGCAAAGTGATCTTCTTGCATTGGTACACTTGTAGTTCGATTTCGAGTTTGATCATATCCGTTTGGTAGAGTCATCAGTGTTTGCCGATGGGTGAGAGTGTGCCAAGAATGTCTTCATTGGAAAAAAGCTGTTTACAGAGGCTGCAACAAACACCCTCCTATGCAGTAAAGGATAGTGTGAGTGGGGTAGGGGAAGGAGGTCCGGAGATAGCGCAATGTAGTGTGGGCTGTTTGGAGAACACCTGTTCTGGATTGCAGGGCCATACCGTCGACGAATTGAATTCAAGAACATCTGGCCCGTGATGGCCCTTGCTCACGCCGCATCTCACATATACTTTGGCATGGATGCTCTATCTGAGTATTAGTTCAGGGCATTGATTCATGGCCATAAGCCATAAGCGAGCGTCCCTGGTTCGAGTCCTGGTGGCGACAGTTGGTCGGTTTATTTTCATTCGCACAGTAAACGGGAACTACGCACAGTCAGTTTTTCTTCTGGCTTTTCCCGTTTACAACTTTCCCTCAAACTTATGAGTATGAGCAGTAGTTCAGGGCATTGATTCTGGGCATTGTCTGTGCACATCTCACACAATGCCACTGTTCCCTGGCAAGGAACAGTATCAACCGTGCCAGGAAGTGTCAGTGACATTTCATCCATTCAGCTCTGAAAAACACATCCGAGTCCCCAGTGTCCTTCCTAGCCACTGTTTTCGTGAATGTGTGACACCAGCATCACACTGTGTTTGGATACAGAAAGTCTGTTCATGAGAAGGTTCCTGGTGTGAGGCATTGTCGCTGATCAAAACGAAAAGCAGTGAAGAGGCGGGTTTGGTTGTGATGTTCACTGCCTGTAAACACACATGTGCATACTATGCATGTGTACATCTCTACGATGATGATGTCAGCGTAGTGCAAGGCGATATCAAGCAAGGCTTACACCTATCATGCTTGTACACATGTACGGTATGCGCATGCGTGCATGCAGTGCAATGTATGCATGTACAGTGTGTGCATGCAGTGCATTGGATGCATATACAGTGTGTGCATGCAGTGCAGTGCAGTGCATTGCACAGAACAGACTGTGGAAGACGAAACGTGCAGTGGCTACCTGGATACCCCAACTGACTTTTGTTCTAACATGGAAAAATGTGGGCACAAGTTATGCGATCGAGTCCACCAACTGAACAATTCTTTTCCTTGCCTCACCATCTAACTTTTGTTGGTCAGTGTTTAGTAGTGTTGTCAATCTACAGCCAGGTTAGGCATGGGAAGCTGTTGGGGAAGGGGGGGGGGGGTAGCATCCTGGTGTACACAACTGGCTGCTCTACAGTGGGTAGGGCAGATTGAAGCATACACG